CGTCTAGGGTCAGTTGCAGTAGCGGCTGATATCGAGGAGATGTTCACGGAGGTCAAAGTCCCCGAAGGGCAAAGGGACGCTCTACGGTTGTGGTGGTTGCCGGATGGAACCCTAGACGGACCTGCCCAAGAGTATCGGATGACGGTGCACCCGTTTCGCGCGATATCCACTCCTTTCTGTGCAAACTGCGCGTTAAAAACGACCGTGAACAGAGTTGCTCAGCATTTTGGAACCCCGGTGTTCTCCTGTGTCGAACATAATTTTTATGTGGACGACTTCCTGGTATCCTTTCATAGCATCGAGGAAGCAGTTCGACACATTAGGGACCTATCCAAGTTACTGCTCATGGGAGGGTTCAAGTTGACCAAGTGAATGTCCAACAGTCGTCATGCAATCGATTGCATCCCAGTTGGTGAGCGGGCGCCGAGTCTCCGTGAATTGCAGGGGAGTCCGTTACCAATAGGTAGAGCAATTGGTGTGCAATGGGACTCAGAGAAAGACGAGGTTTTGTTCCAACTCCAGGTACCTGAGACGACAATGACTCGCAAAGGAATTCTGTCTTCGTTGGCCAGCATTTACGATCCAATAGAGTTCGTCACACCATGGCTACTGCCGGGCACGATTCTGATGCAGGACCTGTGTAGAAAAAGGGTTACTTGGGATGAGACCCTATGCGAAGCGGATCACAAGACTTGGCCAGACTGCTGGCTAAGCTTGTCCAAGCTGGGCGATATAAGACTCCCTCGTTCCATACCAGGAATATTCCGCGGGGAGGCAATTGAGTTACACGATTTTGCGGACGCGTCGGAGGTGGGATACGGAGTGGTGGCCTACGGTTTCTCGTCTCGGCCAGGAGGAAGGAGGCATAACAGTATTCTGTTCGCAAAGGCCAGGGTCGCCCCTCTAAAGTCAGTCTCAATACCCAGGCTAGAAATGGCCGCAGCAGTATTAGGCGTGAGGGTAGCGAAGATGCTAAAAAGATGTTTTCACTCAATCGAATGAACCGTAACTTTCTGGACTGATTCCACTATAGTTCTTCACTATGTTAACAATGTACGGACGCGCTTCAGCACATTTATTGTTAACCGGTTGGCTCTAATACACGAAGAAACGGAGGCGGGTCAATGGCGGTACATAAAATCCTGCGACAATCCAGGCGACTACTGCTTCAGGGGTGTGTTGAACTTAGAGTAAAATAAAAACATGGTAACATGGACCGGCTTTCTTGACAGACCAGACCAGCGAATGGCCCGACACTCAGACTTCCCCTGTCGCAACGGAGTAACTAGAGACTACGAGGACCGTTACGTTAGTGGCTGCTTCAAACAACATCTTACGGCAGAAGCTGCATCGTTTTTCACGATGGACGAAGGTGCTAAGGGTGGTTGTCTGGTGGACCAGATTCAAACGACAACTCATTATCCTAAGAGGACTCCGACCTGACGACACCTTGAATATTGGGCCAATCGTGCCAACTGAATTGAAATACCTTGCGGCACCGATTTGCAAACAGAGCTGCCTCACTTCCGAACACTTTAAGGCAATAGAAGAACTGAAACGTATGCCAGATCTTAGATTCCTCAAACCGGACAAAGGATCTGGTACAGTGAATAAGACCAGGGATAGTTATATAAACAAAATGAAAGAAACGCTAATGGACGAGAGCAAGTTTCAAATAGACAAGGCACCGGATAACAACCACCTCACTGAAAACCTAATCGCAAGCAAACTACAAATTCTGTTACTACATGGCTACATATCCAAAACGCAGTACAAACAACTGAAGACAATGGGAACAGAAACACCAGAGATGAGATGCTCTCCTAAAGTTCATAAACCTGGGACACCTCTCAGACCAATTTTGTGTATGCATAAATCGCCATATCACAAATTCACTCGATGGCTGGTGGAAATTCTAAATCCAGTTTCTAAGTCTTTAACACCCCATTGTTTAAAAGATTCCTTCGAACTATCCAAATGCTTAGAATTGTCAATATCTTCACAACGTATATATTCGATAGATGTGGATTCCCTTTTCACCAATGTTCTGCTCCATGAGACAGTTGACTTTTTATGTGATTATATTTCTTCAGGTAAATTTTCCATTGCTATTCCTCTTGAATACTTAAAATAACTAATATTTTTATGTACCGAAAACACTCGTTTTGAATTCGAAGGGGACACGTACAAACAGATTGATGGCGTGGCCATGGGCAGTCCGTTAGGCCCAATTCTAGCCGATGTACTTTTAGGAATGATTGAACAAAATCTTGGCAATGATATCTCCCAGCCCATCTTGTACAGACGTTGTGTGGACGATATTTTTATTATTACGGAGCGTGAACATTTTAAGACCCTTTTGAGACAATTTAATTCTATTCATCCAAATCTTTCCGTATCTCATGGAGAAGAAAGCGACAATTCTTTATCATTTTTGGATATTAGGATTACGAGGCGCTCAGATGGTACATTACGGCGCTCTATCCACAGAAAAGCAACATGGAGTGGCCAATATTTACAGCTCTCTAGTTTCTCACCCATGGCTTACAAACGTGGACTCGTAAAACTCTGTTCCATCGAGGCAGAAGAACTTGTTCCCCAGACACACTACGAGATGAAGCAGAATTCCTGAAGCAAACATTACTTCGAAACAGTTACCCCGAAAGATTTATTGATTTCCATGGTAAACAATCCCCAAAGGCTTTCCGACCCCTGTACAAAGTTCGCGGGGGATTATCGAGGCAGGTTCGCTGTCGGATGTTGGCTACGGCAGAAGCGGTAGGCATTCGTCTGCACAACCCACTCTGTGTGCCCAAAAACAATTTGTGCAAACGCTAAAGCCTCTTTGGCCCACCCCAAAACAAACCACATCGTGAGTAATCTCGATGGTCGAATGAGTGGACAAACAAACATGTGATCTTGGTGAACCCAATTTCCGGTCTCACGATGAAATCGGTTTTAATAATCTGTTTTTATTTTATTTTATTTTCCCATGACAATTTTATTCCAAAGTAGTGATATATATTGAGATGTATTGGCATGAATACGAATCTCTGAAAACGAGCTTGTTCGCCACTGTTGTTTTCTTGAACATTCCAAAGTGGTTAGGGAAGTCAATGACGCAACCTATGTCTAGAAATCAGATGGTCATACGTAACCCGGGATCATCAACTGCAAAACACCTCATGACAACCAAACACAAAGTTGATCTCGCTTCCTCTTTCAAGCCGTTTTTACGTAACCACAATGAAAAACTGTTGGCAATAAGTAAGCCTTACCGATCTAATTACATAACCCCGTTCTGTGTGCTCAAAAGTTGTTAATCCAATCAATTCACTTGCCGTGGAGTTGACCTATATTTTTTAATTCTAATAACCCCTGTCTAACTGTACATGTCCGTTCTCTATGATTTACAATTTCAATGTGCTATAAATGTGCTTGTTTGTTTTACGTCAGCGATTGAGAAGATTAAACGAAATGTTAACATCTCGCGACATATGTCTTCTTTCGGTCTTGATACGATGGATAAACGGGACCCAGTGTTTCAAACTGAATTGAAAACATCAGAAGCTTATCTTGTTCTTATGGTTCAATTACAAGCCATCCACTCAGAACTTCAGAGATTAGGCAATGGGATTCCTGACTCTGATCGACGTGCATTGCGTTGCAGCTCTCTTCGAAGACTTTTTCCGTCATTGGTAGATGGTTTGCTGAGAGTAGGTGGTAGATTGACAAACTCTAAATTGGATTTTGATGCTAAACACCCCATCATCTTGCCAAAAATCACCACATCACGCACACACTTATCATACATATTCACATGCAGGAATGTCGTGCTCGGGAAAATCACCTACTCAATACGATTCGCCGTCGGTTTTGGATAGTAAAAGGGAGAGCTACGGTGAAGCGCATCGTGGTAACTGTCTCTTGTCATCGCCAGAATGCTCTGTTCAATAAACAGCTGATGGCCTCGTTACTAAGTTTCCTAGTACGACCAGGTTAGTGGCCCTTCGNTCGGGCCACTATGGGTGAGACGAAACACGACGATGGAGAAACGATACGGATGCCTGATGACCTGCCTGCAGTCACGAGCTTTGCATATAGAGACCGTACACAGCATGTCGACCGACTCCTTTCTTACGGCCAGGCAAAGATTTGTGGTTAGACGAGGCAACCCATCGAATGTGTTCTCCGACAACGGTTCCTATTTCGTCGGTGCACCAACGGAGTTGAACAACTGGTTGACGTAGTCAGACCAATGCTCCCTGCTAGACCGACTGTCGTCATCTGGAACCCAATGGCACTTCAACCCACCCTACAGCAGTCACCGCCGAGGAGTTTGGGAACGTCTTATACGGTCGGTACTTAAAATATTGACAGCATTATGTGAACAACAGACGCCGGACGATGAAACGTTGAGTTCATTTCTGGTCAAGGCCGAAAGGATAAGCAACAACCGACCGCTTGTACCCGTCACCAGCGATGACCTGCAAGGACTAGCGCTAACCCCCAGTAACCTCCTGCTATTGAGGTCCAATGATGGTCTAGATATGCCAAAAATTATCAGTGGTTGCTATACCTCGGGTGGGAAACATGCGAACTACCTGGCAGGGGTGTATTGAAAGATTTGGACAAGAGCGTACCTGCCAATCCTTCAAGCTCGACAGAAGTGGCTGCATAGAGAACGGTCACTGAAGGTTAGAGATGTTGTCCTTATGGCCGACGAAAAGCTACAACGCGACAACTGGCCACTGGGTGTAGTCAAAGAAAGCCACACGGACCCAAACGGACTAGTAACAACGGTGAAATTGAAAACACCTGCCGGTGAACAAGTGCGCGACATTCGACGAGTGTGCTTATTGGAGGGAGAGGACCACCACGCCGTTACTTGATGGAGTGGCAGAGAACCGCCGTGTATTATATTGACTTACCTGCCCCTTGTACCAATTGCGCTCCAGTGATATTCATCCCACCTCTATGACCCATGCTTCCACATCCTTGCCATACGCTCCTCCCATATCATTTCGTGACTGAGTGTCTTTTTATCAGATTGATACACAATTTATGATATTAACCTCGAAGGTGTCATCCATGTCCTCACAATATCCGTCCGTTCCCATACACACAATCACCTGCATGCTGAACATGATTTCATTTGTAAAACTTTAAAACATTAATTACACCGCCCACATTTCCCCCTCCTTGTTTACACATCGAGACTTTATCTTTAATGATATTTATTTGACCCACTGCTATCAAGTTATCATGCGACTGGCTGCAAGCTTGCTGATGCACAAGGCCGATCTCGATGAAGAAACGTGCAAGTCGTCGGAGGTCAAGATCGACGAGTGCGGCGAAGGTTGAAAAGTTCGCAGCTAGAAGCACTGACAGCAGGGACTGGGTAGGTAAATAGGTAGAATCAATGACTTGCGCCAACCCCTTGACTCAGACGAGCGCAGGAAGGATTTTGGCGGCCGGTGTATTTCACGTTGATTTTTTGAAAATCCTTCCAAACCCATGATGATTTATGGTGACATAACTCTATCTGTGTGTTGCTCTTATATTGACATTTCTCGATCACAAACATCATACATTATTATTTATCTGTTAATTCGGTGCCCGGCACATTTGAATTTGGCGTGGTTTGAGAACGGAAGCGACTGTTTGGCTCTCTCTGGACATCAAATTTGGCTCTCGTTTGCTCGAGTACTTTTGGCCGCATGTTTGAGGTTTGCTTTATTGTACATTTTGTGATGATTTCGTTAATTCAGTACCGTAGAACATTACGGATCAATCGTGTTTCACTTCGGGATTCGTATCGGTTTCGGCTGCGCGTCACTCAAGTGCGAATTGGTTGACGTACACCCGGTTTGTGTTCGTCCCTCCCACGTGAAGCGGTTGACCAAACAGTTTCTTAATGATGGTCCTTGTTCAGCTATGCCCGAGTTCATTTGGTAGCATTACACATTCTTCAATACCGTTCCGGGCCTTACCGCAGCATTATTTCATTAGGTGCAGGAATTTCTGTCCTGGATTGATGACTCGACACTGGAAGCAGTTATCAAATTCTCTAATTTATCTCCAATAGTTGCTGGGGTTCCCGTCGAATGGATTTCGTGCCACTTTGGCCAGGTCTATCGATGGGTGGCGGTACATTACTTCGATTGGTGGTTGAGCCACCTATGGGCAGGTTTTGTTTTTTGGTCATGAAACGCTTAGTCGAGCAAGATGGCCCAGCCTCTGCTTCCCTAAGCCTCACTAACCTAATCTCCTCCTCCAACTGTACAACCTTACTGAGGTATATATCATAAATTTTAACATTGTTATCACAATCTAGGGCACATGAACTTCTATCACTATCGGGACTAACTGAATCATAAATGTGAGAATCGGGAGCTTCCCACCCACTAAATTCCCCAGTTACTTGCCGGGTTACCTCCTGTCCTTCCTCCTCGATCGTTCTTTGTTCGAACGACATTCTCCTATTGCAAGTTGCACGAATTTGAGTACTGTGCATCCAAAATAGATCAACGGGCAACGCATAGCCAAAATCGGATCCCAAACGTTAACCAAACAAACGATCCGGCAGGCTTCTACCGTACTGCATTATTAAACTTTCAAATAAGCGAAAAAAATCTGTTCACTCCTCAAAAAGATCTCGGAACAACTTGAAAACAAGAGCCAAGTGTTACTGTGAACGTAATTCCACCAATATGAACGGGAGTAAATGAGTCTGGATAAGAATAGCACGCTCACCTTCACGCTACACTCGAAAGAATCAAATGTGAGCGGTCAGGTCGCGATTAAAACAAATAGGGTACGAATAAAGCAGAAAACCAAACAAAGTAAAATAGTGGGATCGATGTGTAGATATACAAAGAAGGTGGAACGTCAAATGTGCATGGAGCGGATGGTGTAAGGTTAATGCAACGTGAAATTCACGAACTGGGGAACTAAGGTGGATTCTTTGGGCTTCACATGAAGGATTTTCACTTACCTATCAGTACAATTACTACGTCATGTCCAATCGACGGTAGCGGCGTTGATGGAGGACGCCTCGATTGATGAAGCTGCGGAGATTGCAAGTTAAATAGTTGCACGTGTCGGTATTGAGGACGATTTTCTCGTTGCCACGATATCGCAAGCGTACGAGGGGAATACTGAAAGGAATGCGGTTCGGTCTTCACAGCTACGACCACAATGCACACACCAACGATTCAAAGACAGAGTACCCGGAGAAAACCACTATAGGACTAAGTATAGGCCCAAACGGGTATCATNNNNTAGTCTTTCCACATTCGCCAAAATCAACCCAAGGCCCAGAAGCCACAGCAGCGCAAATCACCCAAAGTCCCGGATGACGCTGAAATTCGAAACCTAATCAAATCCTCCGTCACTCATTTGAAATAAGTAGTCAGGTTGTGAATGCTTCCAACCGGGTTATATCCCGGAGGCTAGTGCTGAGATTAGCAGAGTATGTGGCCCACAACAAGATCGCAAAGATGGGTTGTGTTACATCGTGTTAATGGAAAATGAAAACGGTCTGATCAGCTGCCCGGTGACCAAGTGGGCAGCATGCTGGCGTTCTGCCCATGAGATCCCGGATTCGATCCCCAGTTGGGTCGATGAATTCTCACT